TTACTCTTTGAGGACTGGAAAACTAAGACCAGCTCCAACCCAAGACATTAGTTTTGAAACGTGAACTGCCCGACCTCAGTCATCCACCACTGCTTCCCTACAAGATCCTGACCTTATTTCCCAAATGAGTAATTCTGAATTCTTTGTACCTCTACACACCTCCCAACCACACTCCAAAACCAAGTAACCAGTCACTACTAGCAATCTGTTTTGTTGACCCTAATAGAATATTTTCTGTGTGTGACGTTACAGCACTTCAGGAAATTACAAACCATCAGGAAGGCAACAAATATGCACCAGACCACCAGCATCTTTGTCGAAGAGACTTGCAGGTGAATGAGCAAGACTGCTGTGTGCACACTCAGCAGAAGCATCCAGGTGTGCAGGGGGCTGGAGTGTGTGCAGAGTACTGAGCACAGACTAAATGTGCAATTAGTGGAATGCTCCTGGAGCTACAGCTGACATTCTATCATTCCCTCTAAGGCATAAGCAACCTTATTACTCAACATAGATATTTATTATGTGTCAAACACTGTCAAGAACGTAACACGAGACTTTTCAACATCTTCACTATTGACATTTAGGACTGGATAACGTTTTGTTGTAGGAGAGATTGCTTTGTGCACTGAAGAATGTTTAGCATTTATACAACAGAGTCCAGTGGTATCCTCCGCCGCAATTGCAGCAAGAATGTCTCTAGATATTGTTACATGTACCCCGGGGTGGGGACAAAATATCCCCTGATTTCAAACCACTGAGTGAGTACTAATGAGCACTAAGATATGTGCTCTTATAATCTCTGCTTAATAGCTGTGGGCCTTTTTTTCTCTCTAAGTTGAGTCTTAAGCAAGGTTAAATTGGATATCTAAACGATATAGTCAGAAAGGAGTGGAACTAATCATCTTTGACCTTACAGAGGTCACATACTTGCTTACTCATAGTGTTGAAGATTTGGTGATAATTTAACAAACTCATACAAATATTGACCACTATTATGCTGGCTTGAGGTGCTGTGGTGGTGCTGTGGTCGGGTCACTTGGCTGCTAACCAAATATCCAGTATTCTAAACCCGTTACATGCTCCATAGAAGAAAGATA